TTGAGACAAACTTTCCCTGCAGCCACAGCTGGCCTGGATTTGCCAGGCTGGCCTCAAACTCACAGAGATCCACCTGCCTCTGCCTCCCAAATGCTGGAATTAAAGGCGTGCATCACCATGCCCGGCGATTTTAGTATATTTTTAAGACTTATTTTTATTTATATGTGTGTGACTGTGTGGATATGTGTATATGAGTGCAGGTGGCTGAGGAGTCCAGAAGGTGCTGGATTCCTTGGAGCTGGAGTCACAGGCAGTTGTGAGCAGCCTGATATGGGTGCTGGGAACTGCACTGTAGACCTCTCTAAGAGCAGTGCATGCTTTTACCCACCAAGCCATCTCTCTAGCCCCTTTTTATAAAAAAAAATTTATGTATGAGTGTTTTGGCTGCATGTATGTAAGTGCACCCATGTCATGCAGTGCCAGCAGAGATCAGAAGAAGGCATTGGATTCCCCTGGAACTGGAGTTGTGGACAGTTGTTAGCTACATGTGGGTGCTGGGACTCAAACACTGGTCCTCTCCAAGAGCAGCCAGTGCTCTTAACTGCTATGTCTAGCCCTGTTGGAACCCCAGTTTGGGGTACCCAACGTCCATAGGAGGCCGCTCCCCAATAACTCAGTCCTCAGACCAGAAGATGCAACAAGCATGAGGATTTATTACGTTTTGCAAAACGGACCCCTGCCTCACTCGGAGGGCAGAAGCCCAGAGGCCAGTTCACAGGCTTCTTTTAAAGACAAAGACCACAAACTAGAGAGAAAGCGGAGGTTTCTTTTAAAGGCAAAAACTACAAGCGGCGGCTATGTGCCAAGCAGAGGTGGGGGGGATTTCTGGGATGATTTCCAGCTTTGGGCAAAGAGCATGAAAAAGGTCAGCTCAGTTTGTTCTTAGCATTCAGAATTGTTTTTTATTTTTACTTCCTTGCACAGTTCTTTGGCCTGAAGGACTTATTTCCTTGTCTTTAGCCTAGGGGGACTGAATTAGGGTCCTTCAGCCCCTCTCCAGTCCCCTTTTAAGAGTGCTGGGGATCAAACCCAGGGGCTCAAAAGTAAGTATTTGAGATTATTCTTATTCTCTAACAAAAACAAAAAAAAATTTTTTTAGACAATGTCTCCCCATGCAGCACAGGCTGGCCCAGAAATCTATGTTGGCCAGCCTAGCCCTCAAGAGATCTGCCTCCTCAGTGCTGGGATTAGAAGCTTGCACCACCTCATCCAGTGATAATCCTCAAATTTGAAAAAAATTGTTCTGTGTGGAGATCAGAGTACAACATTCAGGAGTTGGTTGGTAAGTTTTCTCCTTCCGCTGTGGATTCCAAGGATTGAACTCAGGTTTGTGCTGCAAGCTCTGTTACCTGCTTAGCCATCTTGCCTGCCTAGTTTGCACATGTTTTAGCCCCGTGCTTAAGGAGGATGCATTTTGCTTGACTTTAGGCTTTGCTACAAAATACACCACCCCGGGAAACAGGGTCTCACTGTATAGCCCAGGCTGGCCTCAAATTTGATCCTTCTGTTTCATCCTCCCAAGTATTGAGATCAGAGCTGTGTCCCACCACACCTGGTTTGTTGCCTCCTATTAATGCAGTTTAGGATCTGCCAGATGTTTATCTCTGCAACTTTTACAACAGCCTCAAGTTTTAGATTTTATCACTGCAGTAATTGATGGGAATGTTTTGAGAGTAAACTTTTTGATCATCCAACTGGTAAAAATCCAGATTCAAACTTTCTGCATAAGTGTCATGTGATGTGTCCCCCTAGGTCAGTGTGTAGTTGAGGACAGAGCTTGGCTCATAAGGGTTGAGCAATGTGATTGGGATCTTCCTGAATCCCTCCCACAATGTGAGAGGTATGCCCAGGGACATCTGGGTCTAAGAGCTGGCCTTTGATTCTGCTGAGCTGCTCAACCTTATTCAGCCTCCTATGCTTATCCATGGCTCCCCAGGTCCCTCCCTGATGTCCTGCCAGAGCCCTAGTGCTACTCACCTGAGCTGGTCTCAAGGCCTTTGCACATACCTATCAAATAGTTTACCCAATTCTATATTATGCTGGTGATCGAACCCATGGTGTGCTCTTAAGCTGAAGTACATGCTCAGGTGTAAACCCCTCTTTTTTTAATTGTTTATTATTTTTATTTTATGTGTACCAGTGTATTGCCTGCATGTATGTGAGTGTACCCGTGTCATGCGATGCCTCAGAGGTCAGAAGCGGGCTTCGGATTCCCCTGGAACTGGTGTTAAGGACAGTTCATAGCTGCCATGTGGGTGCTGGGACTCAAACCCAGGTCCTCTGCAAGAGCAGGCAGTGCTCTTAACGGCTGAGCCATCTCTCCAGTCCCAGTAACCCTTTTTTTGAGAGGGGTTTTCTGTATTTCCCAGGCTGGGCCCAATTCCTGGGTTTAAGAAATCCTACTTTGCTGGGCATGGTGGCGCACGCCTTTAATTCCAGCACTTAGGAGGCAGAGGCAGGCGGATCTTTGTGAGCTCAAGGCCAGCCTGGTCTACATAGTGAGTTCCAGGACAGCTGGGGCTACAAGGAGATCCTGTCTTAAAAAGACCAAAAAAAAGAAGAAATCCTACTTCAGCGCCAGGCATGGTAGCCTATGCCTTGAATCCCAACACTTGGGAGGCTGAGGCAGTGGGATCTCTGTGAGATTCAGGCCAGCCTGGTCTACATAGCCAGTTCCAAGCCAGCTGTGGCTACAGGGAAACCCTGCTTCAAAAGACAAAAAACAGGGCTGGGTGTGGTAGTACACACCTTTAATCCCAGCACTTGGGAGGCAGAGGCAGGCAGATCTCTGTGAGTTCAAGGCCAGCCTAGTCTACATAGTGAGTTCCAGGACAGCTGGGGCTACAGGGAGACCCTGTCTCCAAAAGACCAAAAAAAAAAAAAAAAAAAAAAAAAAAAAAAAAAACAACAAAAACAGAAATCAATCCTGCTTAAATTTTCCAAATAGTTGGAACCACAAGCATGATACTGTTCCCAGCCTAATGTTTCAGATTGGATTATTTGATTTTTTTTTTTTTTTTGTGGGTACATATCATGTAGCCTGGGCTACATAAAACCCTGTCAGAAAAAAATCCAAAAACAAACCAAAAAAAAAGCAAGGGCCTGTGGATGGCTCAGCAGTTAAGGGGTCTTGCTGCCAACCTTGGAAAAACGAGCTCAGTTCCCGGAACTGACACGGTGGAAGGAGAGAACAAACTCCCCAAGTTGTCCTGTGACCTCCACATGTGTAGTACACGAAAATGCACACATACAAAATAAGTTTTTAGGTTTTTTTTAAAGGCCGGTCAAGTGAAGCAGTGGGGGTGGAGAAGGAACAAAGAAATCTGTAACTAGTTGTGATCAATTAGTTGTAAGCGCCACTGTACTTGGACCAACCACAAAATAAAAGATTTTTAAAACTTGCAAAGGAGCTGCTGGAGAGACATCTCGGTGGTTAGGAGCACTGGCTGCCCTTGCAGAGGACCCGGGTTCAGTTCCCTACACTCAACACGGTGCTAACGACTAACTCCAGCTCAGGGGGATCTGATGCCCTCCTCTGGCCTTAGAGGGCATCCGCGCAAGTGGCTTACACTCACACTCAAGCGAAAATAGAAATCAATCCTTTGGGAGGCCGGCCGTGGTCCAGGGCTACACGGTGAGACTGTCTCAAAACAACAGCAAAAAAATTGGAGGGCAGAACGGATGAACCATTACGTAGCTGTAACTCATCAACCGCCTCGCCAACAGCGCCACGCTGGGCCCTGCGACCCGCACATGCGCAGCTCAGCGCTCGGTGCCCACTCTTCGTCAAACCCCGTGGAGCCCTCAACGGCTGCCAACGGCTGCCCCAACCCCTGAGCGAGCCGGTGGCCGACGGGGGCGGGGCCAGCGTGCTCTGCACGTGCGTAGGGCGGGGCCGAGGCACGCGCTCAGGGAGCAAAGCTAGGCGGGAAAGGACGGAATGGAGCGCCACGGAGGACATGAGGTGCGTGCGGGCGGTGGGCGGTGCGCGGAGAGCGGGGACGCCGGGCTTCCTCCACACACGAGCCTGTGGCTCTCTCAGGCACCTCGGGCCGCCGGGGCTCTATTCCCTGACCAGCCTGCCCCCAAGGCCTCAGCTCGCCTGAGCGGGCCGAGAGCACGGGCAAGCCCCAGGCTGCTGTTTTATTTATTTTGACACCGTCTCCCAATAGCCCCAGCTGACCCCGAATTCGCTGTGGCGACCAGGCAGGCCTCGATCACCTAGAGATCTGTCTGCCTCTGCCTCCGAGTGCTGGGGCCCGGCCCATTATAGGGACAGATTGCCACTGTGTAGACTAGGCTGGCCTTGAGCTTACACAGATCTCCCTACCTCGGCCTCTTGAGTGCTGGGATGGAAGCGACTGCCTTTTTTAACTTTGGTACCCATCTATCTGCTCGAAGGTGCTTCAGGAGCCCCTTTCAGAGGCTGTGCTCTGACCCCAGGCCCTTAGTCCTACTCACCCCAGCTCTCGGGTCTTCTGAGGGCTCCTAACATGCACACATAGAGGTGCCTTACCGCGACAGCCTGTCAAGCAACTGTATGCTCGCAGGTGGGCATGCCCCCCAACGAGTTGAAGGAGCAGGAGCCCCAAGCGATGGTGGAGAGCAGAGAGTATCAACAAGATGAGGACAACTACGATGAGGAGGTTGGTGCAGTGGCCGCCAGGTGAGGACTGATGACCCAAAGGGGCTGCACAGACTCCTCGGGTACACGTGGTTCATTTCAGGAGAGTCTACCAGGATCTGCTCCCGATGGTGGTCGAGCATCTTCCATGTACCCAGAATGGTTCTAAGTGCTGGGGACATCCTCTTGGAAGATTGGAATCCTCCATGGAGGATTGGTTTCAGAACCCTGCTTACACCGCAGCCAGATCTGCAGAAGCTCAAGTCCAGTCTATAAAACACCTTAGTAGGCTGGCATGATGCATACGGCTTTAATCCCAGCCTTGAGAGGCAGAGGCAGATGGATCTTCCTGAGGAGGACAGCCTGATCTAAATAGCCAGTTCCAGGTCACCTGGGGCCACAGGAAGATCCTGTCTCAAAAAATCCAATGAGTAGCTGGGTGTTGTGGCACAGCCTTTAATCCCAGCACCCGGAAGGCCTAGGCAGGCAGGTCTCTGAGTTTGAGGCCACCCTGGGCTGCATAGCGAGTTTCAGGCCAACTGGGGCAACAGGGAGACCCTGTCTCAAAAAAGACAAAAACTTAAAAAAACAAAAAAACAACAACAATGAAACAAAACAGCACAGTATTGACATAGAACACACTCATGTCCTCATTAAATGTTTTTTTCTTTTTGAGACGGGGGTCTCCCTGTAGCCCCAGCTGGCCTGGATTTCCTATGGACACCAGGCTGGCCTCGAACTCAAAAAGATCCACCCTCCTCTGCCTCCCAAGTGCTGGGATTAAAGGCCTGTACCACCACACCTGGCTTTTTTTTTCTTTTTTAAAAGACAAGGTCTCACTATGTAGCCCTGACTGGCCTGAACCTTGCTATGTACACCAAGGCTGACCTTGAATTCACAGATCTCCGCCTGCCTCTGCTTCCCCAGTGCTCGTATTATAGCACATCATCCTGGGCTAGAATTTGCACTGCATTTCTACCTTAGCAATACTTGAGGTTTGGTTCCAACCACTGTAGTAAAGCACACATTATGATAGAGTCACTAATTTTTTGATTTCTCAATATATGTAAAAGTTAAATTCAAGACAAAAAAGGGGAGTGTGGAGCCGGGCGTGGTGGCGCATGCCTGTAGTCCCAGCACTTGGGAGGCAGAGGCCAGCGGATCTCTGTGACTTCAAGACCAGCCTGGTCTACATAGTGAGTTCCATGATAGCTGGGGCTACAGGGAGACCCTGTCTCAAAAAAGACAAAAAAAAAAGGGGGGGGTTGGCTTGTGAGCTGGGTCAACAGATTAAAAGGTGCTTGCCACCAAGCCTGGTGATATGAGTTTCATCCTTGGGAACCACATGGTAGAAGGAGAGAACCCCTTCCCTAAAGTTGTCTTGTTGACCCACACTTCACACACACAGAGACACAAAATAAATACATATTTTTAAACATTTTATTTTTTTATGTGTATGCCTGTATTGCCTGCATGTAGGTAAGTGCACCTGTGTTGTGCAATGCCTGAGGAGGACAGACGAGGCTGTTGGATCCCCTGGAACTGGCGTTATGGACAGTTGTTAGCTGTATGGGTGCTGGGATTCGAACCCGGGTCTTCTGTAAGAACATTCAGTGTTCTTTTTTTTTTTTGGTCTTTTTGAAACAGGATCTCCCTGTAGCCCAGTTGGCCTGGAACTCACTATGTAGACCAGGCTGGCCTTGAACTCACAGAGATCTGCCTGCCTCTGCCTCCCAAGTGGTGGGACTACAGGCGTGTGCCACCATGCCCAGTTAAAATAAATATTTTAAGAAATGATTTTTGCAGCCAGGCATGGTGGCTGGGGTTGGAACCTAGGGCTTCACAAAGGCTAAACAAGTGCTCTAGCTGGGTGTGGTATCTGTACACCCATTATCCTAGCACTTGGGAGGCTGAGGAAGGATATCTGTAAGTTCAAGGCCATCCAGGGCTAGAGGGAAAAAAAAAAAAAACAGGCTAGAGAGATGGCTCAGCAATTAAGAGTACTTCCTGTTCTTACAGAGCATTTGGGTTTGGATTCCAGCACCTACATAGTGGCTAACAACCAACTGTAACTCCAGTTCAAGGAATCTAATGCTGTCTTCTGGCCTCCAGGGGCACCAGGCATGCATGTACATACTTGCAGGCAAAGCATATACTGGGTTGGATAGATGGGCTGGTGATTAAGAGTGCTTCTTGTTCTTCCAGAGGACCCGAGTTCAGTTCTCAGAACCCACATGAGATGTCTCACAATTGTCTGTAACTCCAGCTCCAGGGGATCCAGCCCCCTGTTCTGGCCTCCACAGGCACCCACATTCATGTGGCATACACTCATATATATAAACGATAGAAAAAAATTTTTTTAATTTATTTTTATTTTATGTGTATGCATGTATTGCCTGCATATAGGTAAGTGCACCTGTGTTGTGCAGTGCCCACAGAGGTCAGAAGAGGCTGTCAGATCCCCTAAGACTGGAGTTGGACAGTTGTTAGCTGCCATGTGGGTGCTGGGATTTGAACCTGGGTCTTTTGCAAGAACAACCAGTGTTCTTAACTGCTGAGCCATCTCTCCAGCCCCACAAAATAAAAATATTTTTTAATTGAAAAAGGGGGCTGGCCGGGTGTGGTGGCACACGCCTTTAGTCCCAGCACTTGGGAGGCAGAGGCAGGTGGATCTTTGTGAGTTTGAGGTGAGTCTGGTCTACATAGTGAGTGATAGGTCAAGTAGGCAATGGATGAATCCAGTTGATTGGGAGAAAGCACCAGGACACAGATAAAACTGCAGCGGAATAGAGTTTATTAGCAAAAGAACACATGGGACAGATGCCCTTCTGGGCAGGGAAAATGTCTGCCCCCGGGTCATGAGCTGGGGGTCTTTTATAGGGGGAGGTTTCTGGGAGGATGCAGAAGGCGGGAAGATATATATTTTTTTAAAGTTGGTGGGGTGGGGGGGAGCGGGAGAGCGGGACTGTTAAAACCTGCTCCCAGCCAGGTTCCGGGTAAGGAAGGGTTTGTTTTCGTCCTCTTAAGATAAGGGAAAAACTGCTGTGCTGAAGTGGCTCCTGAGTCTCTGGTTAGAAGGTGGAATCTGTTTATCTTGTCTTCGGAGATCAAAGGAAAAGCAAGCTGCCTTTTAGAAGAGTCTGCTTCTCTTGACTTCGAAGACCAGGGTGCTTATCAACTCTGTTCCCTTTTCTCAGGGGGCTATCTGAACCTTAACAGTGAGTTCCAGGAGAGTTGGGGCTACAAGGAGAAAAAGACAAAAAAAAAAAAGAGAGAAAAAAAGAAGAGGGGGCTGGAGAGATGGCTCAGTGGTTAAAAGCACTGGCTGCTCTTGCAGAGGACTTGTATTTGGTTCCTAGCACCCACATGGTGGCTAACAACCATCCAAAACTGGCTCCAGGGGATCTGATGTCCTCTTTTGGCATCTGCAGGCAGTGCATGAACTTACATACAGGTAGGCAAAACACTCAGACACGTAAAATAAAAATTTTTTAAATTAAAAAAAAATGCATATACACCAGACACTAGAGCCAGGCATGGTGGTACATATGAGTGTCCAAGATTTAGGTATCTAAACGGGTCCTGAAAGGAGGGTGATTCTCCCTACTGGGAACTACTGGACCAGAGAAGTAGCATACTGAGGTTCCTGTTACATAAGGACACTGGATGCTTGTGGAGAATGGTTTGAAGGGAGTGTGAGTAGACATAGAGGGGTCAGGTTGGAGACTCTAATTGGGGTACTATGTAGCATAACAGATGAGGAAAGGCCCTCAAGGGCAGGAGGAAGGAGATTATTCCTGGACCTGGCTCCTACTGGCTTACAAGAGCTGATTTTACACATCCCTTTCCAACCTGGCCAACTTTATGTTGGAAGCTTGAAATCAGCTGTGATGGGCATTTGCACAGTGGTGCTGGCGAACTACAAATCAGGGCTTTTTCCTACCCTCCAGAGAGCCAGGAGCTCAATACTTACTATCATACCCCTAACCCTACCCCCTTTCTGCTTGGTTTGATTCCCCATGGGTGCTTTCTTCTTGGACAGAGGCAACAGCTTAAGTTCCATTTTACCTCTTTCATTGTTTGCTTTTGAGGAGTATCAGGTGACCAGGGACACTTGTGTGAACATGTGCAGCTAGAACTCAGGGTGGCACAAGCGGCTGCCGGCACGCTGTTGTGATGGCAGCTGTGGACTGAATGCACTCACTTGAGGGAAGAGAGAGAAGAGGCTTTAGACAGCCGGCCCCCTGTCCTTCCCCATTTCTCAATTGGAAAGCAGGCTGTAGGGTGCTTTGTAGCCGCATGCAGAGGGGAAAGGGAGGGAGTGGCTGAAGTCATTTGATAAGCTTACTGCAAATAGCATGAAATACCAGAATCTCTGTGGTGAAGAGACACAAGCAATTACAAAGCATTTAGAGACATGAAGGGGTTTTCCGTAGGTGCATAAAACCAGATGGATGAAAAATCAGTGCAGGAGCCAGTTAATAGATCCGGCAGCAGACACTGGCAACATGATTAAAATGTTAACACGTTTCTGGAGGGGGAAGTAGGTGAGGAACCAGCTCATCAGCTTCCATTCAAACCTTCCCTCTTCCTGGCAGAACCTCAGCAAAATGTAACTTTTCCTGGAGTGCCAGATTCTGTGGTTTTTGTTCCTCCTTGAATCTTTGATTAGCTAGCATCTCCTCCTGGGACTGCTGCCTGTGGTGGTCATAAGTGGCTGACAGCTTATTTGTTTGTATATTTGTGAGAGGCCACAGAAGGAGGGCCCTACCAGCAGGCAGCTCTGGCTCACACTCCTGCCAGTCACAGCTTTACCTGGAGCTAACAGATGGTCTCTCTTCACTCTGATCCATTTCCTGGGCCCCTTGCCAGCCTGGGCCTGCTTGGGAACTCTTTTCTAATCCTCCAAGCTGAATTAGGGACGCCTTAGTTGGATAGACATAATAGATAGGTGCAGCAATGTGCTCACAGCCCCCTCCATCCTGATCCCTCCATACACAGGCCATGCACACCAGGCAAACTGTATTCGGCCCGCTTTCATT